GCAGAGCACACGCCGCCGGTATGAAGACTCGCTTACACTGGAAATTAGTCCCTTGATAGGCCACTAACGTGAGCATGTATATACAAAATAACTTACCAAGTCTGCGACTGAGCAACATAAAATCCTCCACAGTTGCGGCAATTATACAGCATGTCTATAAATACCAGCACAGCTCATCATTTTAGAGCCTCTTATTAGCAGAGAATGTACTAGCAAGCTAATTACGCTAAAAATACCACAGAGTACTACTTCAGCTAATGTGGGAGTCTTCCTGGATCTATAATCTCACCCCTTTAGAACCTAAAACCTAGAAGTGTCTGGCTTATCCTTATATTTTCAACTGTAACTTGGTGATCTATTATGCTGTAATCAAGAGATGTAGATGCTCTGATTTGGCAGAAGCTCAGCTTTTAAGTAATACCAGCTATTAACACATCCCGTCACCTCCATATGGTAAACCTGGTAAATAAACAGAAAAATGCCATGGTTAAGTACGTTCCTTGTAGAGAATGTGTGAACCTATGCTGCTTTCAAGTGCAAGTGGAGAGTTTTTCACCCAATGCATGTATGAATCATGTGGTTTATCAGAGATAAACAGATAAACACTGAGGCTGTGAAATGGGTGTTGTAGTTTATTAGCTAGCTGGTAGCTGCACCAGCTGAACGTAAGTTCAATCGTAGCCTAGTTTGAACGTAAACTGCCACTACGTTCAAGTTTACGAGCTACTAGAATTTAACCGGTTGCACCAAGTAACATAGTTTCAATGTAGCTCTACGAGAGCCCAGGTTGAACATCGAAAAAATTCCAAGCAACGGAACAGAATAAACACACATACACGAGACAGATGTTTTGAGGACACCAGTTTATTGAACCAGTTTTTTTAATTATAGCTAATACGACTGACACGCCTCAAGCAAAGTAAGTCTAGCATGGAAAGCAAGAAACTCAAGCAATTCACTGCAAGTCGAGATCATCAATGTTTCCTGTTTATGTCAGGTAGCATTTACTGATTGGCTGCAGAGAGTGAAAACATTCTGTGTGACAGTGTTTGATCACTTTACACTTTACTAGTTCAGATGTACCATAAGTGTCTGTGGTGCTATTAAAATACTGTGTGTCGCTAGTTTTAAACTAATTACTCTCAACGTAACGTTTAGGATGGACTTTACACCCCAATTTACGATCAAACTTACGTTCAGCTGGTGCAACTTGCTACTGTTGTTTTGAACTCATGTGAAAACGTAAGTTAACTGTACTCACTTCAGAGGAACAGTTTTCATTTTCTCCCTCAAAAATGATCAGAAACTGTGAGAGCGACTGCTCGGCGGAGAGTAGATGTTCGTACACTGGTGCCAGTGGTTCCACCATACATGGTGCCTGAGCCACCAGAATGTAACTGCTGCACCATTTAAGGTGGAACGGGACAACTAGTTTAACTAGTTTATTGTTAGCAAGCTGTTTCAACATCTCCAGCTAATATGGCTCATCTAGCGTTTTGGTTATAGGTATTTTAACATGTCCATCTATTTATCACTCTATAGATGTTAGCTGACATTACCGTACTCTGACAGCTGTAAAGGAGTTTTTCCACGAATCATTTATATCCTTTATTTACTTTGGGCTCCCACATTGTTGTGTGTTTGGTGTTCTCCAACGATTCTGGACACATCCTCAAATTCCAATCTTGGCAAGTATGACAAAGATAAAGTGAGACTCCTTTCTGTGGTGAGCTGAAGTGATACGAACGCTGGTATTTCTGAGGTTAGTAATTGTCTAAAAGGCAATAGTGGAACCTGTTTTACCCAGCATTTACGTACCTCTGCCTCCACCATGTTGAAAGTAGCATTGACCTCACAACTCGGCCAGTTCATGCTGCATTGAAAATTTTGGGCGTTCATGTGGTACCTCCTAGTAGGACACTCGTTTTTCCCATAAAAGCGAGACCATTCTGACGGACAGTCTTTAAACATTTGATATGACTGTACATAGCATCATTATAGCATTAGTTATGTTTACATGCTCACAGCCTCATTTGGGACCCTGCGAGCCCTCCAAGCCAAAGCTGAGCTGTCAGGGTTTTAAGCGTGATATGTTTGGCAGGGGGTTGGGGGGGGAGGGGTGTGAAGTGTACTTCTCAGTATTGGTCAGTACATTCTGCAGTGGCACTTATAGCAAACACAGCTTTTAATAGCTTCTAGTACTGTCAATCTGCTGCACTGGACACTGACACCTCAGGCATTCTCAACCACCTCATCATTTCCCACTTCTTTCTCTTTACTTCTCTCTCACTCTCTCTTACTCTCATTTCCACTGTCCACTACCTCCTAATGATGGTCAGTGCTTGCCTTGCTCTAAACAGCCCTCTCATTATAAGCGTGGTGAGCCAGTATGTCTAATGCTATTGAGCTCAGGTGGACGTGTCCAGATATTAACAGTGCAGGGGTTCCATTAAGCGCTGGAGAAGCAGACGCACAGACAGGAAGACATCCCTACAGCATAGCAGGGAATTTTTTTTCAATCCCGCAGTGCCGTCTGACTGCCTCAGGCAAACATACAGGATCATCATCATTCATTTACTCAGCACATTAGCCCTACTGCCTTCACCATCCACACTGCAATTCAGACGGGGGGGGGGTACAGAGAAGGAGATTTAGAAAGAGGTGAGAAAGAAAAAATAGAGAAAATGAGAAAGAGGAGAGAAAGGAAAAGAGAGAGGGAGTAAGAGATAAAAGAGAGAGAGAAAGAGAGGAAAAAGAAAGAGACATAGTGAGAGAGGAGAAAGACTGAGGAAGAAAGAGAGAGGAGGAGAGAAGAGGAGGGACAGAGAAAGAGATTTAGAAAGAGGTGAGAAAGAAAAAATAGAGAAAAAGAGAAAGATCAGAGGAAGGAAAAGAGAGAGGGAGTAAGAGAGAGGAGAGAAAGAAAGAGAGGAAAGAGAAAGAGACATAGTGAGAGAGGAGAAAGACTGAGGAAGAGAGAGAGGGGAAACGAGGAGGGACAGAGAAAGAGATTTAGAAAGAGGTGAGAAAAAAGAGAAAATGTGAAAGAAGAGAGGAAGGAAAAGAGAGAGGGAGTAAAAGATAGAACAGAGAGAAAGAGAGGAAAGAGAAAGAGACATAGTGAGAGAGGACAAAAAGACTGAGGAAGAGAAAAGAGAGAGAAAGCGCAACGAAAAGATGGAGAGGGCGAGAAAGAGAGAGAAATTAGGAGGTTAGAAAGGGGGAAGAGGATGGACAGACAGAGAGAGAGAAAAAATGAGAAAGTGAAAGAAAATGGAGAAAAAGAGAGAGATAAGAAAAAGAAAAGATAGAAAGAAAGACAGACAGACAGAGATGGGAAGAGAGAAGAAGAGAGAGAGAGAGAGAAAGAGACAGTGAGAGAGGAGAGAAAGTGTGAGAGAGAAAGAGGGAGAGAGAGGATGACAGTATACAAGAAAGAGAAGACAGATAGAGAGAATGAAAGAGAAATAATAGAGAGGAGGAATGAGAGAGAAGACAGAGAGGAGGCGAGAGTGAAAGCAGAGAGCAGGGATGAAGGGAGAGAGGAAGAGGGTGAAAGAGAAGAGGTAGAGAGAGAGGTATGGGATGCATAGAGAGCATGGTGGAACGAGAGAGGAAGACAGAGAAGGAGCAGGTAGAAAGAGGGGAGATGGAGGAAGAAAGACAAATAGAACGAGAAGAAGACAGAGAAGTGGAAGAGAGAGACAGAAAGAGTGGTGGAGAGAATACATAGATAGAGAAAGATAGTGAAAGAGAGGAGAGAGAGAGAGGAGAAAGAAAGAGCAAGAGAAAGATGGAGAGAGAAAGAAATGAGAGGAAAGAGGAAGAGAGAGAGAGTGGAGAGTAAGGGGTGGAGAGATAGTGAGAGAGAAGAGAGATGACAGGAAGAGAGAGAGAGGAAGAAAGTGAGAGAGAAGAAAGCGAGACAGAGGAGAGAGAAGGCAAGAGAGAAAAATAGAAGAGAGAGAGATGTGGAGAGATAGTAAAAAAGAAAAGAAAGACAGATGGTACAATGAAAGAGAGAGACTGTGAGAAGAGGAGAAAGAGGCTTGAGAGAGGTGGAAAGAGAGAGACATACAGAGAGAGGACATACAGAAGGTGAGAGTGAGAAAAGAGAGAGAAGAAAGAGGGTGAGAAAGAGAGAAAGTGAGAGAGAGAGAGAGAGAGAGAGAGTAGAGAAGAGAGAGAGAATGAGAGAGAAAGCGAGAGAGTGAGAGAGAGAAGCAGAAACAGTACACAGAACCAGAGAGAGTGACAGCCAGACAATAGGACAAAGAGGAGAGTTTTGCCAGGACTAACCAACATCAACAGTAAGCAGCCAATTCAAGTAATTCACTGATTTCCTTTCTTTGCCACTGACCCCTTCGCCTTCATCCCACCCTCGTGAGCCCCCCTCTCTCCCTGGAGACTAAGGGCCATGGTACAGTGAAGCATGAGTCATCGAGGACAGGACCTGGAGAAATTATGGGTTTCTGCTTGGTGTTTTCATGCCCTACCTCTGTGCTCTTGATTGTCTGCCCGGAGGCATGATTTGAATACTTCATCATCATGTTCACTGTAGTGTTAACAGCGTTGAATCAGTAGCTAGGCGGAGGAGCTGATTGGTACGTTATTTTCAGACCTGCCGAGGTTGGACTCCGCCGAGAATCAAATTGACAGACACTGACAGTAAAATGACAGGGTTAATCGGACTAATGCCACTAACGTTGAGATAAAGGTTTAATCAGAACGCTCTCTGGGAGACTTCTGTTCAGTTACAGAAAAAAGGATTTTTTTATTGTGATCTCGGTAGGGATCACAGAGTTAACAATCTCTGGTGCCTCAGTGCCTAATTGATTAATTTTAGGTCATTATGTGGTTAGAAAACCCAGTCATCCAGATGTGTGGGAAATCAATGGTAGTTAAAAGTTGATGACACCAGGTAGACGCTAATTTGCTCTCCTGGACAGAGGGGGACAAAAGACGACGTGCCTTGAGTTACAAATGAGCTTTGTACTTACCCTTCCGATGAGAACAGGTTCTGGCCCAGCGTATTCTTCGATAACGAAGAACTGGTTCCAGATCCAACTGCGTCTTCTTCTTGATCGAGGTCCTTCCTTTGGACTCCATGCCTTCTCTTCGTCCTCTTCCATCTCCTGGAACACGAGGCCATGCCGCCCTCGACCAGGCCAGGTATCCACAGTTGTCCCTCTGCTGTCTGTACCTCCTCCACTGCGTTCCGGATTCGGGGGAAGCTTCAGAATGTGACCACCATCAAGAGAATCTGAAGCTTTATTCATGGGATCCTGGGTGGCACTGAATTCCAATCCTGGTTCCTCTTTTGCATCAGTTTTCGGATCCGAGTCTGTCTGAGAGGGAGCATGCGACATGCTCGGAGAAGTATCGCTGTGCCCAGTAACAAGATTGGCCTCTGTGTTGACCACGAGTTCACTTTGTGGTGTTGATGCCACGTGGGTAGTGTAGTGTTTGCTTCTCCAAGAAACAGTGAAAGCTGCGCCCCTTGCCTCTGCCTTTCTCTCTTCCTCTCTTAAATTTGGAGTGCGTTCACTAATTGGTTTCCTTAGAGTGCGAACCGTTTGATCTGGATTATTATTGGGATTTGTGATGGTGCTTGAGCATGGCTCAACTGTTAGAGTCTTGTTATGATTATCAGATTCATGAACATCTGGAGTTATTGGCCTGTCTTGTCTCTTTATTTCAGGTTCCTCCACTTGGCTGCGATCCATATCAATCAAATCTCTCTTCCTGCTGTGACTAATCTTGTTCTGGAAATTCAGACCATTCTGGAGTTGGGAGTTCACAATCCGCACAAGGTTATCCTTGGAAATGAGCTTCAATACACCGTAGCTTCCAGTCAAGTTTAATTTATGCGGTGGGTCCAGCATAGCCCCCTTCGGACCCATGGCATTGCTGAGAATCCCAGGGCTTGACCTCCCTCTGGATCTTGAAGGGGACTTGAATCTGGTTCTGTTTAGGTGTAGACTAGAGTCTATCTTGTGGTGAATTGGAATCCCCTTATCAAGTCGTCCACTTTTAGGTGCAACCTCCATGTTTTTAGTGGTATTCCTATTCCTTCTTGACTCAAGCACATCTCTTGTACCATCAACTGCCATGCGTACCCTTTTACTGGAGTCGTCTACCTGAAGAAGAGATTTTGCGTTAAAATCAAGGAGTTCGTCCTGGTTTGAGACAGGTGGGGCTCCATTGTTCTGAGCACCTTTTGATTGACCTATAGACCTGTCATCCACTTTGTCAGCACCAATCAGTTCTTTAAGCCGAACTACTGGCATTCCATTCTTTTCCAAACTTGTATCCCACTGATTGGCCACCCCGTTGCCTCCATGCAACTGGGAATGAACTGAACCCAATCCTCTTCTCCTAACGACCTTCGTGACTGATCCTGACCCTACAAGCCCCTCCCACAGGCAAAAGGACACCAATAAGAGGATCCACCTGTCAGTCATGTTGAGTGATTGATGGGTGTGGTGAATTAATTTAAGTGACAGCTAATGGAAGGAAATGCCTGCTTTCTGGTTGTCTTCATTCTTCCTTCGGTGTCTGTTTCCCTGCTCCCCCCCCAGTCTTTACTCCTCCGTTACACGTCCTCTGCCAAAGCTGCAGGGCAGGTGTCAGTCACGCAATCCCTCTTTTTTTCCTCCCCTTCTGCAGTATCTGCCTCTATCAATCCAAGCCTCTTCTGGCAGAACGTTTCACTCAGTTTCCCATGGAGGGTTGATCGCCCTGAGAGGAAAGATAAAGATAATTACGTTAAAACTTTAATCGTGGCAGTGTGTTAATTAAACATGGAGTGACACAGCAAGGGTAGCAGAACACACAGACAGGATGACAGACAGATGCCTTAACTTAGGAATAATCACTGCACACTATAAATCCTCATCGCAAGCTGAATGTCTTATGTAGAACAGCACTGCCATTCTACTGTAAAGGGGGTACTCCGACCTGAAACTAGCTTAGATGTCATGTTGTGCAGCATTCTGTAGCATCGCCTTGTATCCCTCAGCATCATCAGTTTGACAAAATTCTCAAATTTAGATTGTTTTCATGTTTCCATCAATGTTTTTCACTACGATACCTGGCAAGTATTATGCAAATACATAATACAAGCTTTGGGAAGCCCTGTGGTGTCAACCAGTCATGACTGCTGCAGAGATAAAGGCTACTAAACACAACCATGGTAGCATTAGTGTAACTCTTAAAATGGTAACAAAAGAAAAGTGATTCTATCTTTATTCAGCACAAAATCGGTAGAAGCGACACGTTTTTTACCCTTGCAGCTAGAAAAAAAAGAAGCCAAACTGGGGTAAATTGTCCAAGTACCCAGGTAGCTACCTTGCTAACTTCATCCTTTTCATCTGATGAGTCACTTCTGTTCCTCAAGTAAACCTCAAGTAAAGACGACATTTGAAGACTACTACACTCTACACTTTCTACAGTTCTTCAGGGTTGCAATAAGATATTCGGCTTCCTAGCGGTAACGTTAGCTATCTGCCATCTCTCTGCATTCTCCATCTAGAAAAGAAAAACAGCCCCAAAAAGTCACCCCAAAGCATTCTGTAGGTGTACACAAGTTCCTCCCACCTTCAAGATACATCATCAGAAAGGGCTTTTCCTAGTGTTTAAGTCATAAAATCTCGCTTCAGACAAAACAGTTTAGGACGCAAGTATGTTTACAACAGACATAGCAATGGTTACATTTTCAGTGTCCTTTTAATTCGATGCATTTGTGATTCTATGTTTGCTTCTCCTCGCTTTAATTGCACAGTCACACCATGTTGGCAAGTTCTGTGTCAGGTGGTAAGTTTATCTTTTAAAAGCATCATAAATTTTAGGCCGTACTATTTCGGGCCGTATTTTTAGAGGCTGCTGTGTAATGAATTGTGCGTGGTGTAGGCACGCTCTCTGGCAAGGTGAGAGTGCTGTAGGCTGTTCTGCATTGCTGTGTGTGTTAGATGTGAAGGTGAAAAGTGGCTTGGACAAACTCCTACTGTACACCGCTGCATTGCGTGGACTCGCACTGTATCGTGGTCTAAGAATAATGTGTTTGTGAGCCGGGCAGAATAAATAATGGCCTGGTAAAGTGCATTGTGTGGAAGAGCAGACAGTCATGATTTATAGGCTAACAGACGATTTACAGGATAACAAATCATGTTCCTATATTACCACTGAGTTTCCATCCCTGCACCCTTCACTCTGATGACGTGAAGCTGATCTTCTCAGTCATCCACAGAGGCTGAGTAGTCCAAATGTTGTGATACAGTATTTATCAACAATGCTCTGTTTGCGAGCAAGGTTTTCTTGGAATTAGGTCAAATATTTGAAATGTTATATTGTTCTGTCGCTGAAAGAAACTGGTGCTACACATGATGTAGAACCACAGAGGATGTTGGGGCACAAGCAGCTGATGCTGCATCTCTTTCGGTAAGCAAAATAATTAGAATGACAACAAGATTAAATGCCAAACAGTTGTGATTTACAGATTAATTTTTTTATCCACTGTATGCAGCTATTAAAGTACAAATCTATATTGATAGATAAACAATATAGATTGTTTATCTATCTACCTATCTATCTACCTATATTACTTAACACTGCCCCCTGATGGTGTTTAGAAGCAAGTCAGAGGGTAGATCCTTTCTTGTTTTTGTAAAACTCATGCCGTTATCTGCTGTCATTTATTTACATAAGGACTACTCAAAAGCTTGGATTCATTGAGTCTACTCATATATTTACTTTATCCACATTTTAGAATAATAAATCTAATGAATTATTAATATTATTACTATTATTAATTAAAAGATAAATAACTATAAAATGGTTCATTTGGAATGAGTACTGTCAGAATTCTACCAAATATGGCTACTTAGACCACACCCCTCCGCCCATTACAACACTACTGACTGGCTGAAATGCATTACGGAGACCAGACATTCCAGACATAATCAGCTTTTATTCCGAAATGCATAGTAATCAGGATGATATAACAAACTTGGTTCCAATTCTAATTATCACTAAAGTCCTACCTAAAACTATCTTGTTCAAAAATGTTTTTTTAGATAAATTCATACAGAGGCATCAATTCACATATTCATATAACATTTAAATAAGCCTTTGGATCAAAATGTCTTGAAAGTTTGAAAAATACACAATCAGGTGTGTCTTTTGACCTGTTGTTTATTTGCCTCGATCTTCATTTGCCTTGAAGACTGATATATGTAAATGAACTCTTTTCTAACTGGCTGCCTCGCATTGTGCCTCAATCAAAAAGCTGGCTGAAACACTCCTTATAACATGAATAGGTGGGGCTAAACAACTGTAAGCTAAATAGGTGGGGCTAAACTGCTGTAGGCTGAAGGGGCAGGGCTAAACAACTATAAGCAAAATGGGCAGAGCTAAACTGTTGTAGGCTGAATGGGTGTGGCTAAACCACTATAAGCTGTATGGGCGGGGCTACACGGGTGTAGGCTGAATGGGTGGGGCTAAACAACTATAAGCAGTATGGGTGGGGCTACATGGCTGTAGGCTGAATGGGCGGGGCTAAAAACTGTGGAAAATAAATAAAAGACGTAGCCAAACTTCTTCTTTGGAAGTGTGGAAAAATATCCCTCTAGATTTCTCTGTAAAACTGAAAGCAAGTCTCCGGAAAAGAATGGAAGCTATAATAAAGGTAAACACTTAAATACACAGACGCATTAAATACTAAAAAAGGCTGATGTTATCTGACAGGAAGTTAAATAAATGAAGGGTGGTCTCTTTTTTTTACTTTTGCAAAGTACAATAGTGTTTAAAGATGTTATTTCATGCTTCAATTTAGTTAGTTTCTTTTTTCTGAGCAAAATAAATGAAATATCAATTCTTTTCCATTCTTACATACAAAATAACATAGCTGAGGTGGGTGGAAAGGCCTACAAGTTTCCAGAAACAGCCCTGATTAGAAGCATCGACAGATTTCTAGCTGAGTCTGTGGCACTTGCACTGTTCTGGTCATCTATAGTCAATAATATTGTGTAAAGGTTTAAATACTCTTGGTCAAATGACATGTTTTGTAATTTGGGACCAACGTAAATATGGTATTTTCTGTAAATTTCAGGGCATGATTTCTATGTATTTGCTGTGTTTGAGAAAAAAGATAAAATATAAAATGTGCCATATATTTGCACAGGCCACATTTTATGTTTTATTCATTTTCCAATATTTAAAATTCAGCAAATAAACAGTAATAGTGCTAAAAAATGTTCTCTGTAGAGGATGTGTTAACATGTTTAACACATTAACAGAAAGCAACAAAATATGGAATTTGACCAGGAGCACCCATACTTTTGCATATGATTGTTTGAGATTAAAAGTTCAATTCTTATTATGTATTTACACATATTTATGCTGTAATCTTTAAATACCTGTAATTAAATAACTGTAAACTTTATTGCAGGAAAAGTAATTTCATTACTGTAATGCATTACTTCGTACTGCATTACCCCCAAAACTGGTAGTTACTGAATAATAAGCCTTTAGATTAATACCTCAATAATGAGGCTCTGGTTCAAAAGGCTAAACAAACAGTCAGAACATCGGCATTATCACAGTGGAGAAAGTTGCATTGTGGGGAAAAGCTGTTTGTACAGTGCGCTCTGTTGTGGGTTGTGTATTTGCGGTATGTTCCTGTGGGTGCCGTGTCCTCTGCTGTGCTGTACGACACTCGAGAACTGTTGTGGGGCGCCGAGACCCTGTCAGTGCATTCACCGAGGCATGACTGAGATGTGAACATCCCCACAGGATCTCCCCTCCACCCCTCCTGCTCCCCCTCCCGAATGCCCCCCCCCTCCACCCACCTCCCTACCTCTCTTGCATG